CAAGAAAATGTCTTTCCTAACATCCACATGGATACATATTCCTTTCTCTGTCTTTCTGTGAATATATGTATCCTTGTTTGTATAAAATATTTAATATTTATCTGTAATGTATCCATTTTCTACTAAACTGTGAACTTTGGTAAAGACAGTCTTGTTGATCTTTTCAGTAACTAGTGCAGGGCCAGCACAAACTAAGCGTTACATAAATAATTCTGTAAATTATTGCATAGATAAACGATTTCATTACAGCTCCATGAGTTAAAATGCAATGCCCTCATTTCACAGATAAAGAGACTGAGTCCTGGTGATTTTTTTTAAGATTTTTATTGGGGAATTGGGGGAAGGGAAACAGACAGACAAGTTGCTGTCGTTTTGTTCTTCAGTCTAGTTGTGGAGGACGTTACTTCACTGGCCCAAGTTGGCACCATCATTGCGCTCTTCCCGGGTGAGGCACATCAGTCACCAGCTTCTGAACGGCTGCTCATGGCGGCTGCTGGCCACTGACGCTGGCTGCTGGCTACACACGGTAGCCCATGGCAACCCACTACCACAGGGGCTGCAGCCTACGCCATAGCCGGCGATCCACAGCAACCCAGCTCCAGGTTGAGCTGTTGTTCAGCATCTTAGCTGTGGAGGGCAGTGTCACTGTCCCTCATATGTGGGATCCGAACCGGGGCCCTCTGGTGTCCCAAGCAAGTTCTTAACCATCGCGCCACTCGGCCGGCCCAAGGCCTGGTGATTTTTAAGGCCACAATGCTAATAAATTCTGCACTGAGCCTGGAAGCCAGTTCCACTGATTTCATGTTCTTTCAGTTTGCCCAATGCCATTTTTGTCTAGTAACTCACTCTGGTGAATCACGAATATCACAATTTTCCCACATTTATAGGATATCGAGGGTCTCAGGAATGTAAAAGTTAATAATAAGGCCAAAAGTCATTGCACTAATCCTAGAAAATATGAAGGATGAAGGGCCAGAGTTATTGAATAAAAAATGACTTTATTAGAAAGGGTTAATTCAGAGATTGAATACAATTTCTATGTCATGGTATAAAAATACTTTTATTTGGGTTTTCCCCATAGAGAGAATAAAATAAAATGTTGGTCACTTTTTCCAGTGTATGAAGTAGTAGTGCTTCATTCTTTGATATCTCCAGGGAACAGTTTTCAAGTAAATTTTTATAAAAGAGACTTTCTTACCTGTCTCTCATATTAATATACCCAGGCATGTTTTTATTAGTAAAAGAAAATCACTTATAAACAAGCACTAGACAAAATGAAATAGAATATGTGCTCCTTGAAATGACTATAAACAGGAGCATATAGATAACCACTTCCTAGTAAAACAGATTCCAGTTAATTCTTTTCTCATTCTCTTTGTTGCTGATTTCACATTAACATATCTTACTATAAACTGTATAATATATTTTATTAAAGGATTGAAATGTCTCTATAAACTTTACAACAATTTATATATGTATGTTTATGTATATCAACTTTAGGTTAACTATGGATACATAACTGATCATGCTTAAAATGATCAACTTTTAAGTAATATGAGACATAACAATGGAAATGGATAGACTCAAATATATAAAAATGTTAGCACAATAAAAATAAAATGAAAATTAAAAGGAATGTGACCACTTGGGAACACATATTCATCCATTGACTAAAAGTAAGTACCTTAATTTACAATAATGATTCTTATCTTAGATTTTGTGGTAATGGGACTCTTCATCAGGGAGGTCAGTGAACTCCATTTTTTTCTGTAGAGAAGGATCACTGTTGTATCGGATATTTAAATGGAGTCTACACCTCGAAATATTTAAGAACTACTGATTTATTATCTCATTCCAATTAATTTTAAAATATCAAGTACTCAATAAACACATGAGCAGAGAGCCTAAACAAGTATTTCAACAAAAGTAGAAACATGCAGAATAAGTAAATGTATGAAATGTTCTACTTCAATAGTAATCAAACAGATTCAATTTAAAACAAACTTCAACTATCTCCTTATATCTCATAAAGCAGCAATCACTTTAAAAGCAAAAGCAACAAATACTCCTATCAACAGCATAACCTCATTCTTTCTGGTACCACTAAAAGTTGGTATGACCATTGGAAAAACAATATGACAATATTTAATAAAAGTCATAAAAGGTTTCATAACGTTGACGCAATAATTTATCCTAAGGCAATTATATACCAGATGCTAAAAGAGAATACATGATGATATTCATTATGATGGAATGTCCCGTAGCAAACAAAAGGAAAGGGCAGCCCATATGGTATTCATGGTAAAATAAATGAAAAAAAGCAGAATACTATTATGGCTATGTAAAGTACATGTTTATGGGGATTGTAATGTGCAGACACAAAACTTTTGGGTGATTTTTGAATGTGAGTATATGTACTATATGACAAAGCCGAAACACTAAATTTCAGTTAGTAAATATAAGAAGCATTATTGCTTAAAATATTAATGAACGAATCATCCAGCATCATGCACAAAGTCCAGTTTTCAAATCTGGGTAAATCCATGTAGACATGCAGGTTGGGCCTTGTGAAATTCCAGGAGGTCATGGACATAGATTACAACATACATGGGTTGTTCAAAATAGAGCCTCTGGACTCATGATATTTTGTATTTGTGTTAATATGTCCAGCTTTCGTGACTCTGATTATCTTATGACATTCCATATTATCTATGCAATTATAATATAACCTGGTCAATGTGAAAAGCCATGGACTTTTATTCAAATAATCTTTATCAGGTTCATTTCTGTCACTTTACCCCTTCTGAGCGTGTATTCTTTTAATCTATGAAATGGTAAATTACATATGGATTGAGATGACATATGTAAAACAGCTTTGTGAACACTAAGGGACTATTACATTTTATATATTTTATAATAATAAAATTAGTTATATTTTATCATGTTAAGGAAATACATGTTACTATACCAAAGTAAAACATTAGCAAGTAATTCACTCAAAGTGTATTTTTCTCATATTAAAAGCAGAAGAGAGAACATCTAGTGAAGATGTTTATATGATGCTTATATTTAGTGCTGTTTACACAGTAGATACATAATATTTTGCACAGAATGTCAAGGTTTTCCTCCTGCCTTCAAGGCCTATTTAAAAATTGCTCTTTGCACATATAATTGAAAACAATAAAAATATTGCTTTACTACCTACCCACTTTTCACTTAAAAGCATCTGGAACAAATCCCTTCAAATGTCCTCCTACTCAGCTTTTGCTGAAGATAGTTGGATACATTTTAAAAACCTCTAAACGAATGCTTTCAAATGACTCATTTACTCTCCTGTGTCTGACAGACAGATAGGATATGTATGCACATGTAGGAAAAAAATAAGTGAAATTGCAAAGAAGGTCATTAATGTTTATTTTGCAAATGGAACTCAACTCCTGATCGATAGCACAATTCTAGATAATTACACACACACACACACACACACACACACACACCATTGAGAAATAGATTTATAGACCAGTCTTCCTACAGAAAGCCAGTGAGAATGATTAAATTTTGACCATTTTAAATGTTCTGTTTATTTTTATTAGGTTTGAAAACAATCTATTTGTATTTATTCCCGCTTGTCAACAACAGAAAGATCCATTTTGTAGCTATGGTTTATCCTATACTTTATGGATAATGCTGATATTTTACCACATACTTAGTAGCTTGTAAGAGTAACACTGTTAAATAAGAAGAAAGTATTTTGTGATGCTAAGTAAAATTTTCTCATCTATGAAAACGGTTTTAGGTTTATTATATATCCACTGGTATCTCTTATATTGCTTCAGCGTGTCTACTTATGGATTAATGTGCTTTAAAAATAAACAGATATTCTTAGTGTGTGCATACATTTGTCATGGGAAAGTGATTCTTTATGTCACCTGTTTTCAGGAGAAGCAATGGAGATTTATTACTGAAAAATAATATGACAGCAAATAGGCTATTTTGTCAGGGCATTTCGATAAAGGGTTCTTTTGACCCATGTAAAGAAAATGTGAAATCCATCCATTTTAAATCTTTCTCAGATGCACTCATTTATTGAATATTGACTAACATGATTACATTTACAGTAATTCAAGGATAGGCTTTGGCTCCAAAAAAGCATTTTAATAAATTAAGATTGATGATTTTTCTGCCCAATTGACTCAATACTAATTTCCAGCTTAGGAAAAAAAGAGATCATTTTTTAGAAGTATGACTTACGTGAAGCTGTTTCTTAATAATTTTCCACCCTAATCCCTTGGTATAAGAAGTCCTTGGGGACTTTTCCCTTGAATATTTATATGTAATCCATGAAGAATATCATTTGCATTTTAATTTGAAATTTCCTGACTTTTAGATGAAACGTGGTACTAAAAGTTTTGGAGTTGTAAGGTCCGCCTCCTCTAAAGCATTGACAAATTTATTGATCAGATATTTGCTGAGCTGTTAATTTGTCCAGTATTAGGTTCTGAGAGGCAAAGATAACTAAGTTATGCTTCTGATTATTAGGAAACCTCTTCTATAGTGGGAGGGGGAGACTATGCTAGGCCATGTATGCAGGTATTGCAAAGGAGGGAAAAATCGTGTCTACACTGATTGAGGCTAGAGGTTAAGAGGAAAGACTCAGAAATAGTTTTTCAGAAGAAATGACAGATAATAGGTTGATTATAACATAGTATCTACTCATTATAGGGGAATGAATATTTCATTTATTTAGGTGAGACTATTTTTCAGTAATGCTTTTATATAATATTTGAATGACTATGAAATTGATCATATCAATTATTTTTCAGATTTCATTTTGGTTTGGATATCTAGTACCAACATCACTCATGTTCAATTTCATTTATCAATGAATTTAATGATATATCAAAAGTAAACTAATGTATAATAGAAGTTATTTGGATTGTAAAATATTAATGATATTCAAAATTGCTTCTTAACTCTTAATCTTTTATTTTCCATTGTAGATGAAAGAGAAGATGTTCAAAAGAAAACATTCACAAAATGGATAAATGCACAATTTTCTAAGGTAAGGATATTTTGTTACTTCTTTTTAAGATGTAATATAAGTTGCTGAATTTTCAAAATGAACTATGTTTCTGTGTAGTTTAAACATCCATATTGTTTTTCTCGTAGTGTCGATTTATTTTAGCTGTGCAAATCTGGGGATATTATGTTGACTTTTAATAAAGGAGGAAGCAGCAGAATATATGGTAAAGAGAAATTATTTAAGCTGACACAAGGTATCTCTAGTTCTTCTTGATAATGTGAGTTTCTTTAATGACATCAGTTATCAGAGGATTTTAACAGCAATCTTCCATCGAGTAGCTAGTATATGTAACAGATTAGAAGATATGAGGGATTTTTACTGTTCCAAAATGATAATTTTTTTGTCTTTCTTGGTCTTTACCAAGTTCGAGAAAAATTGATATAACTGCTTTGGGCCTATTTGGCTCCTATCACTTAGAGCATGTGTGAAATCATTTAAGGTGTTAAGTTTATCTTCTTTTTCTGCAGACATCAATCCATACTCTTACTAATATTTATTTTGCAAATGGAACTCAACTCATGATCCATAACATGATTCTAGATAATTATATGTTAACACAGTAAAATATTCTTACCTTGAAAACTGGCATTAAGTATACTATATAAGGAGGTTTATGTAGATTTTGAAGTGAGAAAGACTTGGATTTGCATTTAATAATTATGGATTTAGGCAAACCAAATGCTTTGTGAGTCAGTTTCTTCATCTTTTCATCAGTTTGTGTGCACAAGTATATATTGAGTGCTTACCTAGTAAATCAAATCCAGAGAATAGGAATATAAAGCTTGTAAAATTAATTCCCTGTACTCAAGGCTTTAAAAGTGGCAAAATAGTGATAATGGTTGTTTTCCATGTTATTGTGAAGATAAAAGAATTATTATGTGTAAACTTTCCTAGTGCAATGCCTCATGCTCTTAATAAATACGAATTACTCGTGGATCTGTGTCATTTTGTAAAACGCTTGGTAATAGATCCAAAACAATCCACTGGGAGATATAATCTAAAAAGTGTTTCCTTTATTTTAAAACAAAAGGTTTTAAACAATGATCCATTCTTTGTGATATTTGATAGCAGAATTTTGCCAGGTACTCTTTGGTATATTAGCAAAAAGTAAAGTTACTGAATTTGAACTAATCAGATTTATATTTATATTTATGTTCTGAATTAACAATTAATAGTTGCTATTACAGAGCTTTAAACAATAAATATAAGAAGGAACATATGTTGTTAAAATTTCAACTTTTTGAATAAGGTACAAATATTAAAAAGGAAAAAGTTATAACAACACAAATGAAGAAGAATAAATGAAAAATAAATTCAAATATTTAGGATAGAAATTCATAATTCTCAGAATATTTACCAAATGGATATATAGAGTTTAATTGCTGTATCGACTGATCTCATTAAAACTGTCTTATATTTGGGGGGGCTGGCCAGTTGGCTCAGTTGGTTAAGAGTTGGCTTGGAAGCGTGAGCTCTGAGCAGCAGGGTCGCCGGTTTGGTTCCCACATGGGCCAGTGACGCTGCACCCTCTACAGCTAAGGTGGTGAACAACAGCTCGACCTGGAGCTGGGCTGCTGAGTTGCTGGCAAAGGCGTAGGCTGCAGTGAGGCTGCAGTGGGCTGCCATAAGCTACCATGAGTGGCTGGCCGCCGGTGTGAGTGGCCGTCCAATGGCCAGCAACCTACCTGCCTCAGCCAGGAAGAGCGCAATGATAATAACCAACATGGGCCAGTGAAGTGATGTCCTCCACAACTAGACTGAAGAACAAAAGGACAGCAACTTGTCTGTTCCCCTCTCCCAATTCCCCAATAAAAAATAAATAATCTTAAAAACAAAACAAAACTGTCTTTTATTTGGAATTTTGAAATAAGCAATAGATAAAACCTTTCAAATGAAAATATAGACAAATTAGAATTGTAAAGAGGTTTTTTAAAATAATAAATGTAACGTAATACTCTGAATATTTTAATTAAACCAGTGAATTATTTTAATAAGGTGTGTAAATGTGACCAAAGACGAACACTGTGAATCTCATTTCACAAATCTAAATGTATCACCCCTCTCTATATACTGACGTGTTCAGACATTTACCACAACTCACATGCTGACATACAAACCATGGTTTGATACCCTCTGTGAATGCATTTTTGGCACCACTGCCTTAGAGCATTCTTTCCCCTACCTTTATGAATGCCCATATATTTTTTTAAGATTTTATCAGGGGATTGGGGAAGGGGAACAGCCAAGTTGTTGTCCTTCAGTCTTAGTTGTGGAGAGCACAGCTAGCTCAGCTCAGTTGCCATTCGGCCGCCTGTTGGCAGCTTGTGGCTGCTCAGCTCAAGGTGCTGTGCTCAATCTTAGTTGCAGGTGGGCATAGCCCACCATCCCATGCGGGAGTCGAACTGGCAACCTTGTTGTTAGGAGCACGCTTTCGCCAGCTGAGCCGTCCTACCACCTGTTGGCAGCTCAGCAGCAACTCAGCTCGGGCACAGCTCACTGGCTCATGTGGGAATTGAACCGGCGACCCTGTTGCTCAGAGCTCGTGCTCTTAACCAACTGAGCCACTCAGCCGGCCCAGTGAACGCACATATTTTAAAACTGTGGAATAATCACATGCATGAGTGTACTGACTGTTTTTTCCCAAGTATCCTCCCCCAATTCACTCCCACTGATTTAATTTATTTTATAAATGTTCTCCCTTAACCCATTAAAATTAGATCAGGAGAGTCATCATTCTTTCAAATATAAAAGTTTCATATTTGGGAATATCCTAGGTATCAGGAATATAAATAAATGTTTATAAAGACAGGAAAAATATTTAGAGAGAAAATTGTGTGTGTGTGTGTGTTGGTTTTTCATTTAGAGAACCTGAAAAATACATTTTCCATGTTATCTGATGTTTCCTTGTCAAGACTTCAGGTACATGACTAAATTATATTTATGCACTTTGGAAGATAATGAGAATTAAGAGAAAGCTAATTTATCCAGTTTAAGCCACTCAGTGATACCAAAAGATAGACATAACTGTGAGATAATGTCATTTGACACATTTATTGCGTCACTACATGGCATTCAGCAGAATTCTAGGCCTGTGGGAGACACAAAATTAGTTTAAGTTGAATCTTCTGATCTCTTGGAACCTACAGATTTGGGAGATCTTGAATAATTGCTAAATAGAGTAGCCTTAAGTGGACTGTGGGTGGTCAGTACACTGGGCTAAAATGAATTGGGAAACCTTAGGGAGAAAGCTCTACTGACTGAGAGAATCTAAACGGAGGAGCATCAAAGAGCAAGACATTCCAGACTGAGAAAATGGGAGCCTACTGAAGGCAGGAATATGTGTTTTGTTTGTAGCCCCGATGATCGTTACTACTGCACTAAATAAAAATAAAAAATGCATTTGGGTTAGTAGTACAGACAATTAAATATTTGCTAGGTTTAAGAAAAAGGAAAAAATTCTGAATGGAAAAGAATGTGTTCAGGAAGACTTTAAAAAGAGAGAAAAAGCAAGGAGTAATTACCTGTGTGGTAAATTAGGCAAAGACAATCGAATACATAGAACAATAAAAAATTAATATGATAAGTTAAAATGTTTATCAGTGAGGTATACACACATACAGACACACTTATATAGTATTTGTAAAGTATAGAGAGACAGCAAAATAGTTCCTTGTTATTTTGTAAAGCTACATAAGGGCAATTTTAAGGGGAAAATGATTAAATATAGCCTTATCATTTTGTGTTATTTGAAACCACATGTGCCTTTTTAGTAAATCCAATGATTTTTCACTTTCCCAGTACCATTTCAAAATAGGCCATATCTCTTTTTCAAAATAACTCTTCTATTAACCTTCAATTCTAAAAGTTTCTACTAGAATGTGATTTATCACATCTATTCTATATAGATAACAAAAATGATTTATCTCCACATGAACATGAAGTCATTGCCAGGAAAGATTAATTCAAGGTAAATATTCTACTCATATAATTTGTGGACATTTTATAATCCTAAAAATGTGTTTACTTTACTGTACCACAAATATAATTCACATAATAAGGATCTTGTCTCATAGACAAGTTTAGTGGTTCCCAGAGAGTAAGGCGGGAGGGGGGTGGTAGATGAGGGTAAAGGAGGTCAAATATATGGTGATGGAAGGAGAACTGACTCTGGGTGGTGAACATATCTGGATGATGTATTACAGAATTGTACACCTGAAACCTACGTAACTTTGCTAACAACTGTCACCCCAGTAAACTTAAAAAAAAAAAAGAATTTTGTTCATTCACACAGGTTCATTGACACTTTTGAAATTATAACCAAAACTGATTTTGTCATAAAATTTGCTTGATGTTTGTGTTAGAGAAAAAGCAATCTGTAGGGACAAATATTTACTTTGCTACTACATCAGTTGACAATTTAAACCATCTCCCAATGAGTTATATGATGGTTTTGACCTTACATTGTAGTTAGTAATTATCTTTATTTCCATCCTCTCTCTACACTTTTCTGTCTGATTCTTCCAAAAGCAGTAGACAACTTTGTATTTTACTTAAATGAAGTAGAAATATGTATTTGGTTCTGTGTATGAGCTTCACAAAAGCCAATGATATGACAATACATTTATGTCTGTATTGCCATGATGTATATGCTCATACATGAAAAAGCCAGGATTAACTCTCTCAGGATAACAAAAACATGGGATAGAATTAACTGATATTACATACTTTTTCCAAGAATTCATCAGAATTTTCCTTCTAGCCAGCATGATGAGCATGATATAATGCAAATTAACACTAAAACTATGAGTTAGTGAATCAGGCTTTAGGCAGCTCTGTACCATGGAGCCTCAGGGAAAATCACTCATTCATTTTGGAAAGAAAGGTAAAACATACAATTCAAATTCTTCCAGTCAAGTTTTCATTATGTGTCCATGTCTATTTTGTGAGAAAACGTGTATTTTAAAAAGTTTTATGAATAG